AGGTCGTCGTCATCCACGAACGACTCGTCGAACACCTTTTTCTTCTTCTGTTGTAGCGCGGATGATTCACCACCGTCAATGTCCATGTCGTCGCCAGCTGCAGTGTCTTCTGCAGGCATAGCAAGCATTTCCTCATCATCTTCGACGCGTTCTCGCTTGGATTTCTTGCCCTTCTTCTTCTTAGGCTTCTTCATCTTGACTTCGGAAACGTCCATGTAATCGTTGGTGGGCGCATCCTCTTTGAGTATGTCCAGACTGATCGCAACCTTCTTTGGTCTTGAAGCGCCCGCGACTTCAGCCTGCACGTCTTCAACAGTTCGGCCCTTGCCGTCCAATGTGAACGCATTGCGCTTCTTGCCCTCAATCTCCTCGTCGTATTGTGCAAGTATCGACTTCTGGCCTCCCTCGTCCATATCGTTGGGGTCGTATGCGCGCTTCCGCTTCTTCGAATCGAGTCGCTCTTGTAGTCGCTCCTTTTCTCTGAGTTCAACCGCCTCTAGCTCGTCATCGTCTTCCGCATCGACTGCAGTGTCCTTGAGAACGAGGATCTGGTCCTCGTCGTCGAATTGGTCGATCTCGTGTCCGACTTTGACACCAGCAAGGTCCTTATCGGTATATTGCATGGCCTCAAGCGCCTGGCGCTCGCGCTCTTCGAGCTCCTTGCGCATCTGCTCCTCCTTGGCGATCTTCTTCTGGCGCTTCTTGCTGCTCTTCAGCCAGGCCAGGTCATCGTCGACGTCTGCTTCGTCCGCCAGCCCCTTGCCCTCGAGCTTTGCAAAGCGCGCCGCCTTTTCGCGCTCCTTCTTGATCGCCGCGGCGCGTTCTTCACGTCTTATCTTGGCCAGTCGCGCTTCTTCCAATTTCTTCCAATTGTCCGAAGCGGCGGCCTGGCGCGTGTCGATGGTGCTCGCAGGCTCTTCGTCTGAGTCGTCGCCATTTTGCGCCGCCTTGAAGTCCAGGCCGGGGGCTGCGGGTGCTGCAGGCGTGCTTCCACCGGGGAGAGCAGAGAGGCCCATAGACAGACGAATCTTGTTCGCCTCGTCGATGGATAGGTCCGCCATGGCTGATGCGGTCGTGATGTCCTGTCGCAACGCAGAGGTTTATGGTCCTGGGAGGCCTGGAAGGAAAGTTGTGACGGCGCCGGAAGTTCGGGATCTTCAATACACTTTCGAGCAGTGTGCAGAAAGGGTCGTCGCAAAGAGTGAAGGCACACTCAGTATTCCCCAAAGGTGAAGTTCGGTAATAGGTGCCTACTCGTGACCTGCGGGCAACATCGCACCTCAGCCCACACATTTCCCGCCAAGCCACTACCCACTAGCGCGCCGGGGTTCAGCCGAGCGACATAAAAAAAGTTGCGCGTCCTCACCCATCGAGTTCTCACCACAACGCCCTGTGTTAACGTCTCCTGTCCACGTCCTTTCGGGGAGCCGTGTGATGGTTGAGATGTTGACAGTTCGTCCATCATGGAGCCTTCTTCCTCAATAGAACGCTTCGGACGACAGGCAGCGCAGAGCAACTTTGGCAGCTTCCGGCAGCCTGAGCTCACCGTTCACGCGGTTCGAGCTCGGTGTATGGTTGTCTGTCAGGCAGACTGATTCCGTTTCCCTTTTGCTAGGCCGTTGGCCACTGATGCTTGGGACTAACCCAGTCGGCTACATGCCATCTTCATGAGTGATGCTTTGCGATTGCGCAGCTTTGCGCTGGTTGATCGTGAAGTCTGATAACTTTCCATGCGACTAGCTGGAAAAGCGCGACGGACGCGTTTACGCGTTTTGGAGGAATTGCATCATGCGCGAAGTCATGTGAATGCGCTTGATATGCGAAAGAGCCGTAGAGGCTGATTTGAGAATGAAGCCGGCCTCTGCGCAGAAGCCGCCGCTGCCCCATGCATCAACGAGCACCAACATGTCATAATCACTGGGCACATGGTCTCGTATTGACGTCGTGATATGCCATACAATATACATATGTTACAATATCTCAGCCTGAAGCCGCTAGATTGCAGTCCAATTGCTGGTAGAAGACCACATAGCCTCCTCGTGTTTCTCATCTCAATCCTTCGTAACTTCTCCCATACCACACACTTAGTTGGCAGCCGGTGCCTCACCCCTCGCCAACTTGAGCAGCTCAGCCTCTCTCCGCTCCTTCAGCAACTTCTCCCTGACCAGCACTCTATCCGCCTCCGACCTCTCCTTGAACTCCTCAATCTCCTTCATCTCAGCGAGCTCCTCCTCCGTTGCTTTAATTTCCACTGCGCCTATCTTCTCCACTAGTGCCTCCAAGATCTCGCTCTCCGACTGGTCTCTCATGTCAATCGAGAACGTGGGTTTCGAGGTATCGGGTACGAGCGTATTGCGCGGGTTTGGTGTGGCGGACGGTGGTGAAGCGTCTGATTGTTGTGTTGTAGGAGAGTTGGTAGAGCCAGCCGATGGCTGTGTTTTGGTTGCTGTGAAAATGTGTAGGAGCGAGGGACCGTCGGGGTTATTGTGTCGCGCGACTTCCATTGGGATGGATGGATTACGGTATTTCATCCGGGGCAGCATATTGCGCCAGAATTTCCTGTTCGTAGAGTAAGCGCTCGATCTTGTCATTGCGTACAATTGCCAGCTCTCAAACATAGTGCTTGAATTGGCCTCATATTCTTGGCCGTCCTCCGGTACATGTAACGGAGCAATGCCAACATACCTTGCCCCTCTATGTCCTCCGTAGAGTTTTGTGTTGAATTCCATGCTAATCTTCGACACCTCTTTGGGCAGTATGAGCGCGCCTGGTCCACATCTTATCCATAATAACTGTCGCAGATGCTAATGTCAGCATTGTTACAATTCAGGTATCTCGAGTTGGTCGGGTTCGATTGTAGGCTTCGACGTTTTCGGAGGTGTCTGCGGAGGTGGATCTTACGTACGTGCTGCGGTGCTTGTTAGTCTTGCCAAACGAGTAGACATGCAAGGAGATTAGCTACTTGCCTCGCGTAGCTTGCGCATGCGCTTCAATATGTGCACCATGGTTGCTGTGATGTGATATTGGACTGGGGTTGCGGAGTTCGAGAGATTCTCGGGCATTGCCCGTAGCGCGATCGTGTCTTGGCAGCCCTGCAGATGAGATGCATCAACTGTTCACTCAAAAAAGAACATTCGGTATAGATAGTAGTATAAGTGAGCATTGCAATGATTGAACGCCTTCCCAGGTATCTGAGCTACATCATTCTTCCACTAAACATATCCAAATCTCCATCCCCATTTGCCGAGTACTTCCACGAGCCAGTCCAGGACAAGTCCACTTCCAAGACTGTATTCGCATCGCTCTGTTGGGTATTGTGTGCGATCGCGCACGATGTTTGTCACGTTCCTGTCGTGCGACTCTACTTCACAGGAAGCAGGAGTGTAGGCTTTTACCGAGCAGGTTGTGCGGCGGCGGCACGCGTCTCTGCGGGAGTTGGTCCCGCCATGCGCTTGCTCCTGGAATTGGGATTAGCATGTGCATTGCATCTCAGAGTAATTCGGCTTACATGAATGACCTGCTGAGGAAGGAGATGATGATCATGGGCATCCACGAGGGCATCTTGGAGAATCCCCAGGTGACGTATGCGTAAGGAATGGCAAGGTTGTACTGCTGGAGAGCACCGTTGAAGGGGTGGAAGGGACCCTCGTATGGGGTGACCTGCTCAATCTCGTTGTCAACGATGAGCTTCTTGAAGGTCTCGGTGGTGGTGCTGGTGCGGTTCAAGGGCTTGTAGCGAACGACGGGGACGGGCGCGGACTGGTCAGCCATGGGCTTGGGGACCTGGAAGTAGTAGAGCGCCGGTGCGCCGACAGACCATGCGTTGCAGAGGAGAGGCTCGGTTTCGCAGTCAAGGTACGCAAACTTGGGCGCATCAGGCTTCGCAGCCATGATGGGGAGAGAAGCCTGGCTGATGTTAGTGTCGGTCATCTGTATGTTCGCATGCTATACGTACATTCCATGCCTTGGTTGCGTTGCCACACAGGCCAAAGCAGGTAGTGTTGCCGCCGGTGGTGAAGATGAGCCAGTCCTGTGTTGTAGGAGGACTGGCGGTAGCGTCAACAGTAAGCGTCTCTTTCCAGTTCTCCAGAGTAATTGGGTACTGGATGGCGGCAGCTGCGTTGGAGGCCACCTTGCTCGTTGCGGTGTCGACTGGCGCCGACGGCATGGAGGGGATGGATGCGGACACGGCGGCCGTCGCCTTGTTGAAGAAGCCCTTCACCTTGTCAAGGAGAGGCACCTGCTCCTCGGCGACAGCGAGCGCCGGGAGAGCGAGAACGAGGCCTGATGAGAAGCGCATGTTGATTGTGTGTGGAGGGAGGTGTGGTGTTGAACTGCGAAAGCTGCGGGTGGTATGCTTGCGCTCTTCTGCCTGATGATGCCACAGGGTCCAATTGGAGCGACGTTGAAGTAATGTGGGGGATGCAGCTCAACGTCAGAGGCAACCACTAACAAACGTGAAGGAGCGGTAGAAATGTAGATGCAATTGTCGCGCGAAGATCGCAAGGAAGTTCCCAGGTCGAGATAGCTAATAATATGAGGAATAGGGATGAGGACTAATAACCCGGCTCTTCTGCTCGAGCTTGGCAGTCCAGAGCTCTGCCGCGAAATTGGGAAGCCTGGGCCAACCGTTCGTCAACAGCCTTCATCATCACGGACCTGGTGCGTACGCGTTCACTCTTCACCAACCGGACGCGTTACAATGCACACATTCGCGACAAAGTGGACCGAATGACCTATGACGCGAGGATCTATTTGGATAAACATACATCAACTGTCTCTCACACAGGCCTGCCTACCCGGATATCCATTCCCAGCATTCCATCTCACCTCATCTCGTTCCATCCCGTCATCATCATTTCCTAGTAGGCCCATCAAAACTCCAACCTGGTTGCACAATATGTGCCGCCAAAGTGAATATGAGTTCCTCTCCACTCTCTGATCTCGAAAGCCGTTGAAAAGGAGCTTCTATTGGCACATCAGTACAACCCTATCTAGCTCTAGGGATATGTCGACATACTCTCATCCTGCAGCTTCCGCGACACATTGGCACTCATCGACGTCCTAGAGCCTGCTGTTAGTAAGCTATCGCCAGAACCCCTTGAGGTCCCCGTCGTAGAAGTGTCAATACCTTGGCCCAATCTCCTCGCTAGTTCCTCTCTGAACGCCCTGTTAGGTTCTGGTCGATCATCGGCTTCTTCTTTTGCGGAGTAAGCGGTACTCCATCCACTAGCTCCTGACACTGGCAGACGGTTACCAGCGTCCCTGACTTGAGCTCGCTCGTGCTCTTCTACCTCGCGACTGTGTGCTGTTTCTTCGTACAATACCTTGCCCGCGTTCGGATTAACACTACAGTCTTTTTTCTCTTCAGCTGCCACACTACGTAGTTTGCGTGGGCCAAGGATATCGCCAAATATGGCGGCCATATTGGGTGGTCCCGCTAAGCGTGGTGGAGGGGGTCCAGGTGGAGGAGGTGATCTTGCTGCTGGTGGAGGCGGAGGAGGAGGTGGAACTGGAGGAGGGGGCGGTGGCGGCGGTGGTGGGATTGGGGGAGATGCCGCTTGCTGGGGAGTTGGCATCGGGATGCTTTGTAAGAACTCGGGTGAGAAACGATTTGGTGGCGAAGGGGCGCGTATTGCATGCGACATAATTGGTGACGACGACCCTGAAGAACCCTCTGATACATCCGAAGAAGGAGGTGTATCTGCATATGAACGTATAACAGGAGAAGGAGGCGTATCCGGGTATGGAGGTATAACAGGAGAAGGAATGCTCTCTGGATATTGAGCGACCATAGTTGGAGAAGGAACGCGCTCTGGATATTGAGCAGCCATAATAGGAGAAGGAACGCTCTCCGGATATTGAACAGCCATAACAGGGGAAGGGCGTGTGCCCAGGTACGGCACTTGATCATGAGCGGGCTGTTCATCATCCCCTCCATGCTCCAGATAATCATGGTCTTCATAATCATTGTCTCCATAATTTCCATAGCTCCCTGGCATCGGCGAACCTGGAGCTCGGTCGTAGTAGCCTGCTGCTGCACCGTGTTCAGACGCGGGAGGCTGGGCTGGTGGCACATACCAGTCTTGCTCTTCCGGAGCAGGGGGTTGCGCATACCAGTCATGCGCTACTGGAGCAATTGGGGGTGTACGATTAGGAGGAGTATTGGAACGGATAGGTCTGCTCGGCCGTCTTGGAGCCGGTGGAGGAGGATACTTCAGAGCAGTAGGGGCCTGAGAATTGCGAGCCACCGGATTTGACTGGGGAATGTGAGTTCCACTAGATGCAGGAGGCTGAATACGAACCGTGGGAATCGGCGAGCTACGGTTCTTCTTCCTGTCTTCCTCTTGCCTTCGCTTCTCGGCTTGCCTTCGCTTTTCATCCTGCCTTCGCTTCTCATCCTGCTTGCGCTTCTCATCCTGCCAGTGCTTCTCCTCCTGCCTTTGTTCCTCAATTTGCTTTCGCTTCTCATCTTGCCTTTGTCTCTCACGAAGCTCGTCTTGTTCACGGCGGGGAGTCCCACTAGCCGTAGGAGGCTGAACACGAATCTCAGGAATCGGCGAGCTACGGTTGTTCTTCTTGTCTTCCTCTTGTCGCCGTTTCTCGTGTTCACGACGACGCTGGTCTTGTTCGCGACGATGGCGTTCCCGTGCTTCCTTCTCAGCAGCCATTTGTTTCGATTCATCGCCCTGCGTCTTTTCAGGTTTCCGTTCGGCCCATCTGACACGCTCTGGTTCACTCTTTCGTATCTTCTCCCTCTCTCTCCTTGCGCCTTCCCTTATTCTGTGACTATGATCCTTCGCATCCGTCTTCATCTTCTCCTTCTCTTTCCTTTCGCCTTCTCGGAGTCTGTCACTGTAATCCTTCGCATCCATCTTCTTCTTCCTCATCCCGTCAATGGCGTTCTCCAATGCGCCTTTGGTCCGATGGCCTGCTTCATGCTCGGCTTTGATATGTCTATAGGTGGCCATGATGTGATCCCCGAGACCCATGGCTATGCCGCCTTTGCTTTTGTACTCGGGTAAGCTACCGAACGGTGTGCCATCCGGTCCTTTCTGCTGCCTTGTTGGAGATCGCGATGCGCCTATGCGACCTGGACGATGATCCAATTGTTTGGTACGTGAGCGGTCACGATGATGTGAGCTCCGGTGCCCTCCAGACTTTCGACGATGAGATCGATGGGGTGTACGAGATCTTTTACGTTCTGTACGGTGTGCTTCCTTGCGTCCACGAGATCGCGATCGGGGACGAGGCTCAGGAGCCAAATCTTCCCATGAAGTTTGATAACCGCTGCCGCCACTTCCTGGCCGATCTCCGGCTCCAGGCAATGGAGCGTCTACACTCTGATGGCCATCATGCAAAGTATCTGCTGGTCCTGCTCCACCGGTCATATGATACTCAGAGTCATCGTTGTGAGGGGGCTCAGTGACTGGGTCGCGAATGTCTTTGCTCCGGTCGCGTCGGCGTGATCTGGAGCGTCCATCCCGTGAGCTGTGACGGTGTCTTCCACACTCTTCATCCCTCGATCTAGAACGGTGACGACGGTGTCGATGTCTACCACTGGATCCATGACCGTGTTCATCACCGCGCCTATGCCTACGGTGCCTCCTATGCCCATCCTTCCCACTCTCGTCCATACCGTTTCCCTTCCTATGTCTCCTGTGCTTCCCTTCTTCTTTCCCCTTTCCCTTCTCTTCTGCTGCCTTCTCTTCTTTGTAGCTGCGATACAGCTTCACACCCTCAACCACAGCTTCGATGACCAGTTTGGCACCACTTTTCTCCTGACGTTCAGAGACCAGGTCCTGGACTCTTCCTTGAACTTGCTTGCGGTACGCGTCGTCGTCAGGCATTGGTAGTGCTCAGGTTGCGCGTGCGGATACATAGTCGGAAGGGAGTAAGTTGGGTTATGAAGGGAAAGCATGTGAAGCGGAAGGGTTGTGAATGTGATGATCATGGGCTGAAGTGGCAGCGAGCGGACACCACTGCTGGGAGTTTGGTTTGGGTTATGGAATGGAGTGCTGGGCTAGCAAACGCGGTGAATGTGTGAAGATGATGTGGCGTGAACATGCAATGAACGAACGGGGTTCTGTCATGGATGGAAGTGCAAATGCGAACGAGACCGAGGTCCATTAGCCAGCATTCAGGAGAAACACACCGATACTCGATCTGCGGAGTAAGGGAATCGAAAGCACTGAAGAATTGAGAAAGGGGTAGAGTTGATCTTATTAGAATTACGATATTGAAGCAGAAGTGGACTTCCCAGAGCTTAGCTCGTCGATTTCTCTTCGAATGTATTGTTGTGTCGTCCTCAGCAGGCGCGTCATCGCAGGCATCGCAGTCGTCGTGCTAGGAGTGTTCAAAAAGACACTCCAGGTCCGCACGTTGGCCAAGTCCGAATGCCAAAACGCCGTCGGTATGCAGCCCATATCCATGTCCCTCAAGCCGTCTATGCTCCTTCTTCCTATCAAGATCATCCTCGTCCCGAATTCCACAGTATTACCACCCCCATTCCCATGTCCGTCTATCTTCCTATGCGTGCACCTACTCCTTCTTCTTCGCTTCGCCCTTCTTCACCCTGACGCCCTTGCCTCTGAAGTCGTTGGCGTCTAACGCATCTGTCTTCCCCAAGCCAAGGTCTTCAGCCTCCTTCTCTAATTGTTGCTTCTGCTTCTTTGCGGCCGCGTTGAGCAGGTATGGTCGGATGAGGAGGTATGCGCCCACGATAGCGATGATGCGAACCCAGCGCTGGGCGGTCATCTCTTCGAAAGACTTGATCGAGTTGTTGACCAGACGGTCTTTCCACTCGACCACGTTGTCAAGTACGTAGTCCATCATGGGTATGTGATGTTTGTATTCGCGATTGTAGTTTTGTTGCGCAGTAGTGTGGAAGAGCGACGTCGGGGTGCGATTACGGCTTCGTTGGAGGGTGACGCGAGAGAAGTGTTCGGTGACTTTTGCGATAGACTGATGCGTATGGAATTGTGCGTGAAAGGCGATGTTGGCGAGGAAGTAATTGCGCGCAATAACAATAAATCACTCAAGCGTGGACCCCCATGTGGCAGAACATGGGCGGTGACTTTCTCCCCGGTCATCACCGAGGCCCCGCTATTGGCCCGCGTTAGGCGCGTCGCGTCACTCGTCTGGCCGGCAATTGAACGCGATTGAAGTTCAACCACGCGGCGATATGGCGTCAAACGATGATGCCAAAGCAGAGCGCGAAGAGGTAGAGAACTTGTTGTCTGAATTGATGATGAGGTCGGGCTGACAATATGCACAGCGGCTCAAGTCAGCCCTCTGGTACTCAATCGGCCAATTTGTTGATGAGAAGACGTTGGAAAACGACCTGAATGCAACACCTCAGTTCATCGGCGCGCTTACTGAGCTTGTATATACTCAAATCGGTGCGAACTATCTCGAACCCTCAGATACTACACAGACTACAGGGCGCTAACGCCATTTCAGCAAACACAGCCCGCGACCTCGAAGTCTTCTCCAAACACGCCGGGCGCAATACAATCAATACAGACGACGTACTGCTACTTGGGAGACGAAATGAACAATTGCAAGGCTTACTGGAGAAGGAGCTTGAGGACATCAGAGCTGCAGAGGGCAGAAAGGCAGACGGGCAGCCAGTTGCTCGCGCACAGCCAGCCGCGGCAGGGAAGAAGCGAGGTAGGCCTGCTGGTACCGGCAAGGGCAAGGCGAAAGCCTGAATATACTCGGGGAATTATGTATGGACATGCCTGAAAGGTTATTGCGCTCGGAGTTTTGGAGTTGTGGTATGATACCCTCGAGCACGCCTACTGAAGGCATGCTCTGCACGTACATCTCGTGCAAACAATAGTGATCGGACATTTTACGAGCCAACAACCAAAACTACAATAGTCATGCTCAACTACTGACTTTGTCTGTGGTTGAGACTACTCGGTGCGGCCAGTATGACACCCCAAGGCTAGCCCCTGCATCCGAGGGAAAGCGCCGGTACGCCAATCGTTCGTCAGCACGCCGCGCCTTCCAAACCCGTCGTCCCCAGGCTTCTTCTCACCACCACTGCATTCGTCGAGATGTGTTATTCAGCCGTGGAAACGATACATAGGCGCACGAAAGCGATGAATCGTTTGCTAATGACTCTTTACGTAGGCTAATTGCAATAGATCATTGTTTGTGGATGCCACACTGTTCATCAGATGCAGTGCCTTTATCTGCATTGTCCGCACTTGAATTGCTGCAGCAGTCAAGCTCCGCGTTGTTTCTTTGTTATAATCACTAAAAGGCCGATCCTCTTTCTTGTCGCACTTACAAATCTTTCAAATATTTGCCTCCACCATGCACGCCCAAAACCGATCAACGTCATTGGATGTGGCTTCCATCGAACAGGGGAGCTTGCCTTCACCAGCTCCAACATACAGCTCTACGTTCCTTTCGTATACCGCTCCTCATACGCCCCAAAACGCCAATTTTGGTTCAGTACCAAAAGGTGGCGCCTCAAACAACCCCTACCATCAAGCCACGCATGAGTCGACTTGTTCGATCCCGCGTTACAGCAAAGCAGCTTCAAAGGAGATGGAGGAAGCTCAGGTCAAGCCCGACTACCAGGACACAAACCACCCCCACTTTGCGCAGTCTTTAGGACCGGGTCTACCAACCTCACTGCCTGGACGGAGTCGAATGCCGCGAAAATGCATCCTCGTGCCGTGGGTACTTTTCGCCATTTTCTTCCTCATAACGCTGTGGTTCATTTCGATCTTAGCTGGCGCACGATTCCTCTCCATCATCCATCCGACATTGCCAGTATCTACATTGCAGGAGATTCATATCTACGTCAATGGAGAAGTGCTTCAAGGGAACGTCTCTGTCTCTAGTAGAACTCTCGCATTGCCCACGGATACTGTTACTTCCACTGCAAATACTCCAAGCCTAACGGCACCAACATCCGAACCAATACCTGACACGGGCAAGGAAATGGACGGTCTATCTACGGTGCTTGAAGGACGCACCGTACCAGCGCCTACAGGTTTCATCTTCAAAAGACGAGCCCCATGAGGAAGACATTTTCTCCGACTGAGGTGCTGCCCCACTACAGGCGCCGGAGCAGCGCGTCATGAAGTGCAGCCTCATCAAAGGCAGTGAACTATAGATTGCTTTTGCAATGAAAGTCGTTCACATGATTCATACGCATTCTCAAGCACATGTCACTCTATTTCTTTCAAACCACCGACTACTGCATCAACGCAGTCTTGTGAAATTTCTCCGGGTATCACAGAACCCGTCAGCTGCGTCTACGAGCTTCGGCAACAAGAACACCGAAGTTTTCATGTTCATCGCGACTCGCTGCAGGATCGTGTTCCCAGCGAACCGCTCTCGCAGTGTTTTGAAACATGCGGCTGCACAGTTGAAACGGATTTGCTAACCCAAAGTAGCGAGACTGGAAACGCTCGCTTCCCAGCTTCTCCACCACCATGCCCACCCAATCTCGGATGGTGCCTGTCGCATAAACAAGCATCGCGGACGACGCCCAAAAAGGGCAGACTAGCACTTCATCTAGATGTGCTGCTGGCGTGTCGCCTCTTGGCATCTGTCAAGGCGATGTCGTTCCCGTTGCCAGTGGCTGGGATAGCGTGAACGGGTGTCATGGAGGATTCCAGGCGGTTTGTCCTGATCTCCGGGACTATTAATCTCATACCAGGCGCCTAAGACAGGGAATAGATCTGCGTGGGGTGAGTACAAAAGCTGCCGTCGTCCTGACTTCTCTAACTCATCATTCCATCAGGCCAGTCCTTTCTTGCACAACACTCGTTCCGGTTTTTGCCAACTTCATTCTTTACACTACATTCCTTTCGTGATCAGGCATCACTAGCATACCTTTGCATATCGAGTCACTGTACATATCACACCGACGACACAACTTTCAAACTTCAATATGTTCACCAAGGCCGTTTTCACCAGCGCTCTCCTCTCCGCCGTCTCGGCTCACCAGAACCTTCACCAGCTCTGGGTCAACGATGTTACCCCCGGTTACCAAGTCGGCATCCGGATGCCACCTTCCAACAGCCCCGTCACCGACGTAACCAGCGACGACATCGTTTGCAACGTCGGCGGCTCCAAGGTCCCCTCCGGTGTCGAGACCGTCGCTGCCGCTGAGGGTGACACAATCAAGGTCCAATGGGACCAGTCTGGCCACCCAGGTCCTATCACCCACATGCTCTACGGACCCGTCGACGATGCTGCCCAGGCTACCGGTATCGGTGCCGGATGGTTCAAGATTGACGAGCTCGACCAAGTCGGCGGCAAGTGGGCCAACGAGATCATGGGGGAGAACAACATGACCCACGAGTTTGCTCTTCCTACCGGTCTTGCTAGCGGCGAGTACCTCCTCCGTTCGGAGATGCTGGCTCTTCACAGCGCCCAGACCGTCGGCGGTGCTCAGTTCTACATTGGCTGCATGCAGCTCAAGATCACTGGTACTGGCAGCGAGGGCTCATGCACACCTACCATTGAGCTCCCCGGCGCCTACAAGGCTGAGGACAAGAACATCTACATCCCCGACATCTACAACGGCTTCGACGCGACCACCTACAAGGCTCCTGGTGGCGCCGTTGCTTCCTGTGGTGGTGCCGGTGGTGCTAAGCCATCTGCTCCTGCTGCTAACTCGACCGTCCCTGTCTCTTCTCCCGCCGCCGCCGCCTCTTCTGTCGCCGCCTCTTCTGTCGTCGTTGCCGAGACCAGCGCCGCGGCTCTCCCTACCCTCGCTCCTGCCCGCCCCTCGATGAACACTACCATCCCCAGCGCTGCCCCCGAGGCCCCCACCACCTTCGCTACTCTCGTCAAGCCTTCTGCCGGTATCGCTGCCCCCACCGGCGCTGTTCCCTCCGGAACTGCTGGTGCTGCTAAGCTTTGGTACCAGTGCGGTGGCCAGGGATGGACTGGCCCAACTGCCTGCGAGGGCACTGCCAAGTGCGTCAAGCAGAACGACTTCTACTCCCAGTGCCTCGCCTAAGGGAGAGCTTCTGAGATAAAAATGGCTATGAGATTAATCGGGGAGAAGGAGATGAACTGGAAACTTTGATTGGAGACACCTTCTTGATGTTCATGTATATACCTTGACTTTGCAATTCTACTTCACATTACTTATTGTTCAAACCCTTTTCTGAAGAATGCGTGACGTAGACCCCCCGTGGCACGGATTTGCTGACGTGAAGCAGAGATGGCGGGCTGAGACGCGGCCGTTGCACAAGAGGGAGGAGCGTCATCAACAGGTGGCTGGCTAGGAAGGAACAAAGGAGACTTCCCTCTTGTTCAAGAACGTCGGACGTCCGGCCCCTGAGTGACGTCTTGCCATGGTCTTGCCATGTGCTGATTCTTTTGCAGTCGCGGACGATCAGGTCGAAAACCAAAAATAGTGCCGAATGCCTGTCGCGTGTGGGAGAGGGTGCAAGGCTCGATTCGCAGGGCGGGCGGAGAACGAACAAGCGGCGGCGTTAGTGCATGTTTCAGATTAACCTTATGTATGGCAGGCCATGGTGGGCTGTTTGTACCACCACGGCGCGCCTTGTGAACAGCTGGCCTGGCGGTGCGGCTGCATATGCACAGCCAGGCATGAAGGGGGCGACGTCATGCAGCGTGTCAGAGCCTGAGATGTCACGGACTTCGTCTTCCATGGCCGGCCGTTGTTGGTGACGGACGGGGGTGGAGGTGTCGCTGTGGCTCCTCAGTGGCTTCCCCGAAGTTCAAGGCCGCGGCCAGGGTGCCAGGGTCGTGCTCCACTCTCTCTAATTCACCAACCCACGTCGCTGTCCCGCTCCTAATTCCCCATCACCACCACAACACCGCCG